AATCTGCTTTGCCAGAAAATAACAATGGCAGTAGAATTATAATCACCACAAGAAGCCACAGTGTTGCTGAATTTTGCAAGCAATCTTGCTCTGTTCATGTCCATAATTTGCAACATTTTTCTCTAGAAATGGCCCAGGAGCTTCTATGCAGAACAGCCTTCCGATTCGATCAACATGAGGAATGTCCTGAAAATTTAAAGAGTTTATCTTTCGACATTGCCAAAAAGTGTGATGGATTGCCACTCGCAATCGTCGCCATAGGAGGGCTTCTTTCAACCAAGGGCAAGGATGTCTTCGAGTGGACAAGGTTGCGCGATGACCTCAGTAAACAACTAAAGAGCAATCCACATCTTGCACATGTCAAAACAATACTATCCATCAGCTATCACGATTTGCCTCCTTACCTGAAATCTTGTTTCTTGTATGTGGGCGTTTTCCCGCATAGTCATCACATTCGAGTCAATAAACTGATTCGATTATGGATTGCAGACGGTCTTGTAAAAGAGAATCAAGAAATGACATTGGAAGAAACTGCGAAAGCATACTTAACTAGGCTAATAAACAGAAGCTTAGTTCAAGTTGAGTGGAGCGACTCCACAGGAAGAGCTAGATCATGTCGAGCCCATGATTTGATCCAAGAAGTTCTTCTTTCCAAATTAGAAGAACTAAACTTGATTCATTCCTCACAGCCAAGTTTCAACACTGCTGGTCGATATCTCTTGATTGACAATAACAGAGCATGTGATTTGTCAAGGAGAAATGGTGACTTTCAAACTCATTCTATTATCTTTTTCAATTTACAAGAGTTACATGATCCTGTGCTTGAGAGACTGTCCTTAAACTTCAAATTTTTGAGAGAAATAGATTTTGAAAATGCCCCATTTGACTACCTCACCGAGGAGATAGGGAATTTGTGGCATTTGAGATATCTAAGCTTAAGGTATTCAAAAATAAAGATGCTTCCCAAGTCCATAGGAAAATTGCGTAACCTGCTGACTTTGGACTTGAAAGGTTCTTTAGTGGTTGAGATCCCAGATGAGATAAGATATCTGTGTAAGTTGCAGTATTTTGGAGCGAGCTTGATTGATCAGTATAGTACTTACAGTATCAACACCGACCAAGGCGTAAGGATCAATGGCAGTGTTATCGGGAGCTTAGAGTCATTAGAAAAGCTTCTTTATGTGGACTTCCCATCGCAAAATGGTGAGCATTTTGGTAGAGAATTGAGAAGGTTAAAGCGGCTGAGGAAATTGGGAATCACTAAACTGAAATCAGATTGCGGGGAAGCTTTGTGTGGTGCTATAAAGCAGATGCACCACCTTTATGCACTGCGTATTTTGGCTGTGAAAGAAAACGAAGTTCTTGAACTGGAATCAATGTCTCCTCCTCCATCCCTTCAACGTCTTCGCCTGGACGGACGACTAATGACGTTACCTGGTTGGATTTCTGGACTGGAGAACCTTGTCAAAATTAGTTTACACTGGTCTAGAATATCAGATGATTCGCTTAAAATCCTAGGAGATTTGCCAAAGCTATTAGAGTTCTGGCTTCATGAATGTTATGATGGAGTTGAATTGCACTATGAACAAGGAAAATTCAAAAAACTTAAACACCTTGCACTTGGTCGTTTGCACAATTTGGAGAAAGTGGTAATAGAGAGAGGATCTTTACCTTGCTTGGAGACACTCGGAATAGGGCCTTGTCCACTGTTGCAGGAGGTTCCCAACAACATTGACAACTTGGAATGCCTTAGAACTCTCGGATTTCACGATATGCCAAAGGAATTTGCCAAAAGGGTACTGCCAGATGAAGGCCCAGATTACTGGAAAGTGAAGGGAATTCCAAATGTTTTTTTATATTATAGAATCCGAGGATTGTTTAGTGAAACCTATAAGCTGCATGATTTTCGATTGCGTCAATATTTGTATCAAACTTAATCTTCTTACTCTTTTATGATCCTTTTTTAATTGTAATTGGCATTTGAATGTATATAATATTTACAACTGAGATGTCAAATATTACCATGTAAAATTCATTTAGTGGCTCCAAATATTCCAATTCTACTGCATTCTCCTGTTTAGGTATGATCATATGATATTGAAATCCTTTTTGCCATTTATCAAAGATAAGCAGTGTGAAGAATATTCTTTATTATCAAACTTGCTAAAGTTTATAAAGAATAATAATGAAACTTTAAAAGTATACGACTTACATATATATATATATATATATATATATATATATATATATATATATACTGATGAAAGCTAACTAACTCTTAACTAATTTCCCCCTCCTCCCCCAAGATGGAGATTGATGAATGTTGAGAAGTCTCAATTTGACCATAAAATTTGTAAAAATTGGTGAAGAAAGAGATTTGGTGAAAATGTTTGCTAATTGATTGGCATATCAAACATGAAACAGTTTGATAAAACCAACAGTGACCTTGTCCCCAACAAAATGACAATCAATTTCAATGTGTTTCTTGCGTTCATGAAAAACTTGATTTGAAGCAAGATAGATGGCTGATTGATTGTCATAAAGAAGGAAAGCATTCGAGGTAGGAACTTGGAAGCAAGAAAGAAGAGTTGCAATCCACCATACTAACAAGTAACTGAAGCCATTGATCAATATTCTGCTTCACAGGATGATCGGCTCACCGTGTGCTGCTTTTTAGATTTTCATGAAATGAGATAATAACCGATATATGTGCAATAATCAATAGTGGATCCACGAATATCATGACATGAACTGTAATCAGCATCCACAAAAGCGTTGAGCTGCAAATTATTACTTGTTGAGAAGAAAAGACAAAGACCAGGAGCTTTCTTAACGTAGGATAGTAAATGATAAACAGCTACAAGATGTGGTTGTCGAAGAGAAGAAACAAATTGACTGCTTATGTGATATCAGGTCTCATATGAGCAGGGCCGGCCCTGAGCATAGGGCAGGGGGGCGACCGCCTAGGCCCCAAGCTTGGAGGGACTCATTTTTAAAATATTTTTAAGTTTAATATTTAAAAAATAATTTTAAACATATTTTTTTATTTCAAACACTCGAAAATATGATAATTCAGTGGGCCCAAATAATTAAAAAATATTTTTAAATATCATTTTTTATTAAGAAACTCGAAAATATGGTGATCCAATGAGCCCCATTTTAATGATTGGAAGGGAAATTAAGTATGGGCCCCCACTTGTCTTATTGTCATCACCTCCTAATTTAAGGCCCTTAAAATATCAGGACCGGGCCTGCATATGAGTTAGATATACCAACCAGCCTTCGATATAGTTGAGGATCAGACAATAACTAACCTTCATGAATACTCAATTTATGGGAGGGAACAATTGGTAGATCAGCAGGTTTCTTACCAAGTGTACCAATGTCTTCCAAAAATTGTAATGCATAATGTATTTTTGACAAAGAGATCCCAATAGCATTTCGAGCAATCTCAAAACCAAGAAAATATTTCAAAGGATCTGGGATTTTTAGTTTAAAATGTTGCTGAAGAAAAGTCTGAATCTCATTTAATAGCTCCAAGTTCTTTCCTGCAAGAAAATATTTGAAAGGATCTAGGATTAGGTAGATCGAATACCTAAAAACGAGTTTTAAAAATAATTTTAACAAAAATCGTTTTTAAGATAAAAATAGGTCTGCATTTATAAAGATTCGATTAAAACGGATTCGGAAGTCAGTTACGCGTGGGGATGGATTAGCACCCCACAACACCCAAAATTAGTACTATGTCGCTTACACATCGTCGTAAATGGTGAAAATGATGAATCGAATATAAAATTAACCTATGATCCGTTTATTGAGATTAGATTAATTTGCTTCGAAGTAACTATTTAAAAAAAAATCCTTTAGCTCAATAAAAAAATCTTTAAATTTGCAATATTCCGTCGGGAAAGCTATTTCAACCATTTCTTATTCGTAAAAGAATATTCTATCTTCGACTATGTAAAAATGTGAATCGAATATAAATTGACAATAAACAATTGTGTGAAGTAAAATAAAATGTTATTTAGAGAAACATACATCGTGTTGTTCAACTTAAAATAAAAAGAATTAATTAGCAAAATAAAAATCAATTTTATTTCAATTTCACATTTTGTTCGAATGTCGTATCAAATTAAAACATTTCGATCAAGTGATGCTTTCAACGCCCATTCTACAAATCAGTGTTCTTGAAAATATTTGAATAAAAAATTAATATCGAAAATAAGAAAATATATTGGATAATAAATATTTAAAATAAGATTAATAAATAACTAAATAGAGGAATAATAATGAAATAAAACAGCACAAATAAAAATACATAAATAAAGAGAGCATAGGTACACACTCTACAGACAAATATAAAGTATACAAGATATACTTAATATATTATAAAGTAACATGTAAGACATAAATACAAAAGTATATAAGGTAACATATAAAAAGATTCATCGTACATGTATACGGCAAATTTAGCATTAATATACTGAGGTATGAAACAAATCTAATATATATAATTGCGTTAATTACTGCCAATATGAAAAACAAATGTCAAAGGTAGTAAATGGTAAATGCCGAATAAAAGGAAATATATATAAGAACGTAACATGCTCCAATCAAAAAGGCAAAAATAAAAGGATATAGTTGATTAAACCGAGTAATAATAATAAAAAATTAAAAGACATTGAAAATACAAACAAGCAGAAATAAAAGAGATAAACAGACAATAAATGGACATGCATTTGGACCAAATTAAAATAAAAGGAAAACAAAAGGTAAAAAAACATTAAAGTTATCGAAGAGACTAAATTGATATCATTAAAATTTAGAAGCATTACCCAGTGATTAAAATGAAAACATACAATACTTGGATGACCAAGGTAGTTATTAACCCATACACAAGTATTCAGAAACCATACCCTCCAAAACGACATAGTTTTAAGTATATTATATATGCATCTTTTATGGGTTTTGAAACCCTCATTTCTTCATTTTCACTTCACTTCTTCGTTTTAAAAGAGAGAGAGGGGGACAGAGGCTTCATAGGAGTTCGAACGGAACTCTTGTGTTCCCAGAATCTAGTGAGCATCCGCCGTGTCGACCGCCGCTGACCGACGCCAGTCGCCAGCAGCGTAAGAGAGAGATAAAGAAGTCGCTCGATCCGTCTCCTCGTCTGGATCGAGAATCCGAGCCTTGTTTAAGCAAACAGTGCCTCAAAAGTTGTAGATCTAAAGAGATCTTTTCGACTTCCGTATTTTCGGAGGTCCTCGAAGTAATCGACGAGCACCGAGACGGGGTAAACTTCCTTCTCTTCTTTTGATCTTCCTCTTTCTTTCTCTCTATTTCTTTTGTAAACCCCGAATCCCTCTCTATTTTTTTGTTTTATTTTTTTCTCGGTTTTTTTTTCTAAACCCGAATCTCTTGATATTTTTTCTCTCCCTTCTCCTCTTTTCCCTGGTTCTCTCAAACCACTAAATCTTCTCCTCTTTTTTTTTTCTTTTCTCTAGTTGACTGATATATTGTCTCCCTCTTCTCCTTTCATTTTTCCCGAGGGGATAGGGTATGAATACCACATCTCTTGCTTGATTGACTCCCGAATATGCCTCGGGATATCATCTCCTCTTTTTAATATTTTTTATCTTCTGTTGATGGATTACTCTGACTGATAGGTGTGTTTCTGTCACTGTTTGGTGCAAATCTGTTGGTGCCGGCGTCAGAAACAGTCGGCGAGGGTGAGGCTCGGCTTGATCGGCGGCTGCTAAGCTGGTTGAGATCATTAGGGTGAAACCCTAATCCTTGTGCGATCTGGACCGTTGGATGGGTCCAGATCCAATGGTGGAGATAAAGGGGCGGCTAGGAGCGGTTATGTTGAAAACCCTAATCTGTTTTAGGGTTTTAGATTGGGCCGGTTCAGGTTGGCCATGGGTCTTGTCCTGGACACTGGGTTGATTTTGTAATCTGGGTCTGGTTTCAGTTGGGTTACTGGATTAGGCTCTGGGTGAGGGCTTTGGGCTTGTACTGCTGGGCTTGTAATTGGGCTCCCATTTGGGCTTGGATGAAGACCTGATGGGCTTGTAATTTAGCCTACAAAATGTAAATAATTTTGTTAATTATAATATTTTTGTTAACAAGGACAAAAACGGGTGTTTGCAAGTGCAATAACACCTTCAATTTGAGTAAAACCTTTTGCTACTAACCGATACTTATACTTATATATTGTGCCATTAGCCTTGAACTTTATTCTATAAACCCGTTTACCAGCTATCGGTTGCTTTCCTTCTGGTAGAGGAACTACTGTCCAAGTTTGAAGATCATCCATAGCTTTTAACTCTTCATGCATAGCAACTCTCCATTCTCGATACTTTACTGTCTGATGATGAAAAGAAGGCTCATACGAAACAGAAAACGTTTCCAATAGAAGTTTCGTAAGAGGGAGAAAGTTTAGATGTAGAGATGTAATCTTGAATGGGGTTAACATAAGTAGAAGATGTATTGTTGCAATAGTAATTTTGAACATAAGAAAGTTTCTAAGTGACCCTAGTCCAATGTCTAAACACTCTTTCCATGTGAACATAAGGATCATTTTGTGGAACAGGTTCAACATGAATGTTTGGTATTGCATGTCGTTCAACATAAGTATCTTGAACAACTAGAGGTGAGTTTTCATGTGTTATTGCATGTGCATTTGATTCGTTTTCAACAATACAATCATTTTTATTTAAAAAAACAATAAAATCATTTGCAATGTAACACCTCTATCCCATATACTTTCTCGTATGCATGCTAGAAATGTTACATCAATCGTATAAAACATATATCGTTCAAAATTGATAATTTTTTTCGTTTGAAATTGACCATTTAATTAAAAATACTATAATAAAAAATTAAATAAAACTAAACTATACACAAAATATTGTATACAAATCAACTATAAGGGATAAATAAAATAAATATTAAAACACATATAATATAACTATTCAAGAATAATTCATATGTAAACATATAAAAGCAAATTAAGTATCTGATTCATATAACTTATACTTTTGATATTTTTTAAATCATAATGACTCATATTAACTTGTATTTATTTTTCTTTTTATTTTTAAAATATAGTCTAATGCATTTTAATTGAGAATATCAGGTACATGAGTCTCGTCGAGTGTGCACATTATGTGAAATTAAAAGTGTCTTGTAAATATATTTGCACTCGAAAGTGCCTCGTAGATTTGAACCATTTGTGCCATATAATTATGTATCATATAATCACTCCACCTCATGGCATGCCATTTGTACCTCAGATTTTTAATTCATACACATTGGGATTATATCAAAATAACATATCATTTATCATATAAGTTCATTATGTATGCTAATAAAAAAATAGCAACAATCTATGTATCAAAAAAACCATACTTAAAAGTATTTAAATAAAACCATATAAAATAAAATTGCAAAGTATTTTTTTAATAAAAAAAGTTCATTTTGAATAAATTGAGGTCAACTTATCGGAAGTACTATATAAAATATGTTAAACGCACTCACTTTATATCTCAGTAGTAAACCTTAGTGTCGATATTGCTTTCACTCTGATCCATTGTTTTTCTCTCATTGCTCAGTTTAACTTTGATTACGATCACGATCTATCCAAAAAAAATTATCCGACAATAAAATTTCAAAACACATGTTAGTATTTAACTAACATATTCGATACTACTTCCTTTAATTTAATCAATTCTAACTTAACCTTTCCAAATAACCTTTTTAGTCCTTGAAATCAACATTTCTTAATCTTAAATCACTTCACTTTTCACATTTGAAATTTCATCACCAGTTCTTTATTCAAGACGTTCAAATTGGTCCTCAATCTTACACTACTTTCCAAATTCACCCAACTCAACATTCTAACACTAATTTCCAGCATAGTGTTTCAATTTTCAAATGCTTACAACTTGATCCTTCTATTATTCAAAACTTGCAAAAATTGCCTCCTAACTTAACATTGTTCCATAATGATCCAAAACTCAATTCCTAGGCATGAAAAATCATCCTTAAATCCAATCTAAACCCTATGACATTTTTATTAAAATTTTCCAATTATTCCTCTATATGGTCGGAAATTACAAAGTAGTCCCCTAATGGTCTCCACTTTGTTTTCAAGCTTGAATCTTCATTCAACATTCATTTCTAATCAAGTCCAACCATTCTAAATCAATCACATATCAAGATAAACCAAATTCAATATTTCTCCCCAAAACCTCATAATGGCTGAAACTTTCGATTAAGTCCCCTTAATCATTTCCAATAAATTTTCATGCTTGTTTATACTTCCATGACACTCCTAGGATCAAAATTCAATCTTGTTTCAACCAAACATAACTTCCCTTCATCAACCATAAATACTCATCTAACAATTAAATCATGAATCATTGAGATATTTATACCAAATTAAAGAGAATTCAATGTAGATGATTTTTTTTATTTCACAATTTAGTCCTAAATCTCAATAAATTGGACCAAAAAATTAAAAAGAAAATTTTATTACCTTAGATATGGTGTTACGGCTAGTTGAATGAGAGGAGAAGAGTTCTCTTTAAGTTTCTTGCAAAAAAATCTCCTAATTTGTCTTAAAACTAATTTAAAATGAATTAAAAATTCATTTTGGCCCAAAAGTCAAAATTACCCTTAATGAATCTTAATTTTTACCACCATGACATTATTTTATCTCCATTTTAATAACCTTAAATAAATATAAAAATCTCATTTATCAATTTTCATATTTTCCCTTCCAATTTTTCAAAAATTCAATCTAGTAACTAAATTTCACTATCCACTTTAACATGGAAATTCTATCAAATTCCACTAATCCACATCAAATTATACTAATAAAAAAATATCAATATTGTTTTAACCTCAAACTACGTTCCTTCAAATTTTTGTAAGCTTCGGATCCGATTCGGTTATCCAAATAATTTACTGGACTTTATCACTTAATAAACTTTTATACAAATTTCAAATCAAAATTCTAAATCCCACTAAGATTCTATTCTTAGACAGAACTTCTTATTTACGGTCCAAATATTTAACTTTTGAAAATTATATTTTTAGTCCTTAAACTTTTATAATTTATACTTTAGTCACTAAAGTTTAAAAATTTACACCTTAGTCACTAGTCCAAAATTTGGGATATTACATGTAATATTTTTTTTCAGTATGTGAAAATTCAGAAGCATCTGATAAGCATCATGAACCTTCTAGAAAATTTTGAAGAGTCAGATCAGGGTTTCAAATAGCGGCCGAATAGCAGTGTCGCGACCGTTATATTGCGGTCGCGGCAATGTTTGAAACTGCTATCGCGGAAAATAACAGTATGAAGTGGGATCACACCAATAGCGGCAGATCACGGCCTCAATTTAGTGGATCACGACCAATCGCGGCAATAGCGGACCGTTATTCCGCTATTATTCCTTTATTTAATTTTTTTTATAAAAAACATGTTTTCCTATTAAAAAATCTGCTCCTTCGAAAAAAATCACGATTACGATATCCGTAATGGCCGCAATATCATCCATTGTATCCGCAACCGTGATAAACGCGACGCGACCGAAAATGTAACTGCGAATGCTATTAAAAACCCTGAGTCAGATATCAAATTTGATAAGAGAATAGACTGAAAAGGATCAATAACCGAATCAGTACCTTGTAAAGTACAAGAATGGAATGCATATATATTTTCATGAAAAACCACATCTCGAGAAATCACTATAGAATGAGTTTGAAGAACGTATATTTTGTAACCTTTAACTCCTGAAAATTTGCAGATAATGCTCGAACAACAAATTTGTCCATGTTTGCTTTAAGAGTAGAAACAAAACTTAGACAATCAAAATTTTTAAGATGCAAATAGGAAGGTGTTTTATTGAAAAGTTCATATGGAAACTTGTTATTGAACACTACAAATGAGAGTATATTGATAATATAAGTAGCAGTAAGCAAGCAATCACCCCAAAACCTTATAGGAACCTTTAACTGAAAGTAAACTGCAAGAGCAACAACCAACAAATGCTAATGTTTCCTTTCAGCAACTACATTTTGTTGAGGTGTCTCTACACAAGAAAACTGATGAACTATGCCAAGTGACAAAAAAAATCTATGAATTTTATCTTAGGAGCATTGTTCGATCGAAAAACTTTTAAATCATAACCAAACTGTCTTTTTATCATATTAATGAAACTAGGAACAATAGAAGCGACATCAGATTTGTATTGTAGCAAGTATGTCCATGTGCAATGAGTAAAGTCATTTACCAAGATTGAAAAATACCTTTTGTTATCATAAGTTGCTAACTTATAAGGACCCAAAATATCACAATGTACAAGTTCAAAAGGTTGAGAAGCTTGTGTAAAAGATAAAGGGGAAGAAAGTCTTTGTTGTTTTACAAGAGGACAAATATAATAACGAACATCTTTATTCAAAACAGGAAGATGTAATACATCTTTAAGCTGAACATCACACGATTACTAGGATAACCTAATCTATTATGCTAGGAACAAACATTAACAACATTTTAATTACCAACAAGATCAGATTCAATGCCATTTAGAACAAAACTATCATTGTTTAAACTTTCAACAATAGGTAATTGCATCAAATAAATTCCTTCATGCAAATCAACCTTCCCAATCACCCACCATGTAACACCCCAATTTAGGGGCTAAATTTTAGAAATTATAATGTATTGGATTTAATTGGTATTTTGGGAGAAATTGAGGATTAAACTGTAAAATCGCAAAGTTGGCCGACCATTTTAAAGAAGTGTAGAAAATTCAGGGGCTTAGTCCTAAATTTACCCATTTTTCTTATATGTTGAAAATATAAACTCATTTCCCGTGCTCAGTTCCCAGAATTTTTCCCATTTTCCCCTCCCCGGTCAACTACTTTGAGTTCTGATCTATTCACCGTCCGGCCACCGTTCGACGATCCGAAACCAACATCGTGTTCGTTGTAGATCGATGAACAAAACCCCTCAAACCTCTCGTCGTGAATCGGTGCCATTCACCGTAAATCTTAACCGGAAGTATCGTCGATTTTAACTCGATCACTACTGGTTTTCCGTCGATTAAGGTCGATC